AAATTTGATTTGATGTACATTTTATTTGTAGATACTGACCATGAATGACCTTACAATTCTACATCTGATAGAATTAACCAAAGATGTAAGCAATTGTGTCCCTTGTACCTTATAGTAAGTAGCAGTTTACTACAACTTCAGCAAGTTGAAATAAGATAAAAGTTATAAATATTCATATGTAGTTTTTAATAGAGCAAAGGTCATAAGCTAATCAGTTTTAAGGGAATCAACCTTAAATGACCTTGACCTCACATTGAATAAAGCAAAAAATAAATGAAGTCTTTAAATCAAAAAGAAGATTTGGTAAAGAAGTTCATGGCAACAACGTAATAAAACAATTCTGTACAAAAATAGCATACATTTGATTTCCCATAACTATTTACGGTATGTATGTGATAAGACATAAAAAGTATATGGCATAAAAATATTGACAAGATATGACTATCTGATAGGATGCACTGTCGATATTGTATTGGATACAATGTGTTGATTTCATAAAATATTGTATTGGATACAATGTGTTCATTTCATAAACAAAATATTTAAAACATTCTGCACTATTTGGTTACGCAAAATGTGATATAAAGCACTACTGTGTAAACATTATAGTATTGCATCTAATACACTATTACAACCGCCACACGGGTCCCTCAATGATAACAGTATAACAGTATAAAGACCTGGCTACTATGTAATACTACATGGATATATAAAATACTCAGGTTTTATACATTTAATTTTCATCAACTGACATATGACCTTTGTGTACCTGCCAGGATGTTGATTTGTATTTGACTAAATGTTAAAAATGGAATTTCCTAGTGTCCATTATTATTGTTAATGGTATAAACAAATTCTGATATACATGTTAAGACTTCCTAGCAGTCAATAAAATGAATGAGGAAAAATCCAAGAAAGTTGAGATCAATATGAATATACTCATGTGAGTTACCTTTTTTCCAGTTATAGCTGCCTTACCAAAAATATAACAAAAATTACAACTGTCAATAAAAATAAGTACTTTTATGAGTGTGTACTGGGAAGGAATGTGGAGATCATTGAATTTATCTTTTTATGAGCATAATAAAAAGAAATGTATTTAACATTAAAGTCAGGTTAGTAAAGTTTCTTTAAGCTTGCAAATAACATATAGCAAGAGGCCCAGAGGGTGTGTCGCTCACCTGTTTCTTTCTTTACATGAAACTGACATATAGGTATAACTTCAGACCAAATTTGGCAACTAGAACACAAGACATTTTAACATCTCTTAAACGGTTCTTAAGATATTGACCTTTGACCTCATTATTGTAATAAAGATAACGATTCACACAGCTGGTCTACATAACATACCCAAGTATCATGGACTCTACATCAAATGTTTCTTAAGATATTGTTGTTTGAAGTTTTTAACATATTTGACCAATTTGACCTTGAAATTAGGTGAAGGTAATTTTAATGAGGAAACTTTACAGCATTCCATTCCAGGACCTACTGGCCAAATATCATGACCTTTGACCTTATGGAACTTGAAAAGAAGACTGTTAAAGCTTGTAACCAATGTTGACATTTGACCCCCAGCTAGCACTTAAACTTGACCTTTGACCTCATTACTCTAATGAAGAAAAAGATTGACATAGCTGGTCTACATAATATACCCAAGTATCAAGACTCTAGTTCAAACGTTTCTTAGGATATTGTTGTTTGAAATTTTAACATACATGTATTTGACCTGTGACCTTGAAAATAGACCAAGGTCATTTTGATGAAGAAACTTAATATCACTCCATCCCAGGTACCTATTGGCCAAATATCATGACGTTAGATCCTCATATTCTTCAGAAGAAATCGTTCAAAAGAAAAAAGTTTTCTAAACTGTGTTTTCAGGTGGGTTTTTTTTTTTTGGGGGGGGGGGGGGGGGGATTGATTATGGGCTGACACGTGTACAGCACACATTTAACATGGTCCCATACACGTATCAATATAGTGCCTTGTACCTGGACAGTATCTCATCACCTAGGGCACTTCACTCTCTGAGATGAGAAAATGTCAGACACTGTGTTATATAACACTACATTATAAGATACACTGTGTAACATTACACTACATTATAAGATACACTGTGTTACATTACACTACATTATAAGATACACTGTGTTACATTACACTATATTATAAGATACACTGGGTTACATTACACTATATTATAAGATACACTGTGTTACATTACACTACATTATAAGATACACTGTATAATATTATACCGTTGTATGATATACACTGTATTAGATATTATACAACTGTTTTGATACCCTGTATACAGTACATGTCATAAAACCTTTTTACCTTTGAAACAGTTCTTAATACAAGAAGTTATTTTCATTCTAAATAACAACAGCTTTTTTTGTCAACAACTTTTTCCAGAAAATGTTGGTTCTGATCCATGTGACCTTGCTTGTCTTAATCATAAAACTTACCCAGAGAAATAAAACTCTTTGCTAAACCTAACAAGTTTGAATAATTTCTGTATATACAGTACTTCAATATAAAAAATAACACAAATGATATTTATCATATAACAACAGAAATAACAATCAGTAACAACATCCTATTCATGTAATAAAACACATGTGGACACAAAATCGGAATAATAACCAATTAACAATTAATAATGCTTGTGTCTACTTTAAGACTGTAGTCCTCTTTATCAAACACATCCTTAAAGTACTGGGCCTTTCCTCAATATAATTATGAACATGATCATGCAAATGTTTTAATTATGTTAAATATTTTGTAATATGAAATAACAGTTCCAAAATAAAATGAAAACATTGTGCGTAACATTGATAGATGTATTAATTTCTATAACAAAATATTTGCTGTTTAAAAACATGACACATCCTTGCAGGAAACACTAAATGCATTTAACATAAAATAACAAATTGTACATTATAGCATTTCCTATATAAGTCACCTCATGGTTAAAAATGAAAACTGTTCTATATAGTAGTAAACTTTAAATCTTTCAACATTTAAAAATAAATACATATGATACTCTTCAAAAGGAGATGTAAACTGCATATCAAAATCTATGGATATTACCAGTAAGCAAGAGGCCTATGAGGTCTGTATCTTACCAGTAAGCAAGAGGCCTATGAGGTCTGTATATTACCAGTAAGCAAGAGGCATATGAGGTCTGTATCTTACCAGTAAGCAAGAGGCCTATGAGGTCTGTATATGAAAGTTGAGAAAGATCTGCAACAAAATAGTCCGGTAATGTAACAGATCTGTCTAGTACTTATTGGGAAATAGTGATAACAAACTAGAACTGTCGAATTCCAAGATGGTTGTCTGGCAATCCCTTTGTAATTCTGATCAGCCTCAAATGACACATGCACAATTTAGGTACAATGAAAATCAACATGGGAAATATAAAGATCTGTCAAGTACTTCAGGCCAGGTGAGCTTAATAGCTTACCGCTAAATAACACAAACAGCTAAGACTCCAGTCCAGCCTAGTCAGCAGTTTTGTCTTTTCTGTGTTATTGTTAGTTCTCAAAGGACATTATTTCTCCGGCAGCCGTATCAACATGTATGCCGTTTTGGAAAAGATTCATTTTTCAATAGATTTACAGGAATGTTATCTTTATTGCTAAAAAAACAAAAACGGAATATTACAAAATGTGCTTGCATTTTGTCAAAATATATACGTATGATTTTGTGATTTTATTGAAAACTTTGCAATTCCCAACTATTGGAAAAACTATTATAACAATTATATATATACATTGTATTGTAAACTACACTAGCTGAACATAACTTATCTGTCAATGACCTACTGAACCTCACACATTTTGCCCCTTTTTTTTTGCAACCTTAAAAGTCACACAAAATACACATTTTAACAGCTTAAAATTACCACAAATATAAGACTTAAAAATAATTGATTATAAAACGCTCAAAAAATTGAACATGTAGTCTTAAGAGACGGATAATTAAGGCTTGATTGGATATATAAAGCTAAGAATTTGTACTTAAGGCTTGAAATGAATTAACAACATCTGGATTAAAATGATTGAATACATAAAACTTAACATGAATCAAAATATAGGCTTTAAAGCATTCAATATATGAGACTAAAAATGACTGAATGCATAAAACTGTCAATGATTAAATACATGAAAGTTTAAATGATTGAATATATAAGGCTTGAAATGATTGAACATATAAAGGTTTATATGATGGATGATATATATATATGGTTTTAAATGACTGAATATAAAAGATTTTGATTATAGCTGACCCTCAAATAATTCAGTCACCTTTATTTTCAGGAACAAGAGGCCCAATGGGCCTGAATCGCTCACCTGGTATTAATCTCACACTTCGTTGTCATCTTAAAAGTGAACAAAAATACAGCTACAGGCAGAATATCAGTGTTTGATTCATAAGAACCTATTAAAAGATTTAAACATATGACGCTGGTGACCTTGAATGTAGAACAAAGACATTAGGTTGAACAGAGTTTATAGTCTTCCAACCCAGCATGCTTCTAGCAAAATATCATTACTCTGGACCTTTTGGTTATACAGAACAAATCATTAAAAAAATTAAACACATACATGTATTGACCACTGTGACCTTGAATATGGGCAAAAGTCATTCATTTGAACAAACTTGGTAGCCCTTTATCCCAGTATGTTACTGGCAAAAATTAAAGCACCCTAGCTGTCATAGTTATTCAGAAGCAGTTGTTTAAAGGTTTTAAACATATTTGACCCCTGTGACCTTGAAAATGAATGAAGGTTATTTATTTGAACAAAGTTGGTAGCCCTTTATCCCAGCATGCTTCTTGCCAAATATCATCACCTTAGGCCTTTTGGTTACTGAGAAGAAGTTGTTTAAAGTAAAAAGTTGATGCTGGATGCCGGACGGACGACAGACGCCGCACCATGCCATAAAATGGCTCTATTTTTAAGCATGTCCATTTTGTATAAAAAGTCTGATAACCCATCAAACACTGGCTTGATAGTGTGAAAATCAGATTAATGCTGGCTGAATTTAATGAAGTTCAGCTGTATACATGCAAAGGTTAAAATATTTCAAAAAGACAAAAGTATTAGCCATCCCTTTGAAAAATATCTCCCCTTATGCTGCTCCCTCTACTTCATGACCATCTGAGAATGTAAAAGTCCCTCTTGACAGCTAGCTTCATTAAAGAGGATTAACCTATCTCCTCTGTGTCCTCTTGGCTTTTTTCCTCCTCTGTGACCTTGACTGGTATTACAGGATTTTCAGTGCCCCCCTGACCCTTTGTTTTCCCTGTCAATTGGACTGGCTTAAATGAATCGACTGTGTCACCTTGACTTTTTTCCTTTGTTAGGACATGAGCTGACGTAATAGGCTCATTCTGACCTGTAATAACCTGGCCTTGTTCAACAGGTACTATCCAGTCTGATCCTTCAGTAGTTTGGGGTGTAGCTGAGTCACTATAGCCTCTGGACAACCTCTTCTTCCTATTATCTCCCTTGTTCTCGACTTCCTGTTGAGAATGGCTTCTTCCTGTTAACAGACATACATTTATAAGGATAAGGACAACAATTCTTCAAACCTGTGTTTTATATTGGGGTATCAATGTAAACATTGATTTTATCTGGTAAATAGTCTATTACAGAAAAATTCAGCATATGTGCCTGATTTGCTAAAACAAACCACTTCACTAGTTCATTAGTGAGTGTAAATGTAGATATTTTTCTCAGGCTATATATTTTGAGTATTCACTCACACCAGGCTTTCGCAATGTAATAAGTTTCCTAATGTGTATGTAGTTCATTTCACACTGAGTTTACAGTAAGTCTTATTTTTGACTAAGGACTCATAAAAAGAGGTCCCAGGCTTGCATTAGACAGTTGCTGTAATTGTTTGACCCTTGCTGTATAGATGTGTATGTAGTTGTCAATATTATTACAGATGTGCTGACCAAACCATCACCTTGTGTAGGGATTATTTGTTGTTTTAATTTTCATATCAATAATTTATCTTTCATGCAACATTTACTCATCCGCATGAACTCTCTTTCACTATGAATTTTCATAATCACCTTCTACTTTGGGATGCCTCTTCTTTTTCTTTGGAAGTATTTCTTCCATCAATTCTTCTAAAGATACATCCCGGGAAAGACGTTTTCTTCGGGAGACTAAAGATCCTGAACTGTGTGATGGCATCCTTGGTCGTGTAAGATCCTCAGACAAGTCTACCTTCATTTCTATGTAAGATGCATCACTAGATGGTTTTGAAAAGACATCTTCTGAAGATCCCGACGTATTTGATGTCATCCTTGGTCTATCAAGAATCTCAAACGATTCTTGTCGGGACAAATGGCGTGAGGTAGAACTACGGATAGAACTGACACTACTACCATAGCCGGAATCCTGGTGAACATATCTGCCTTTAGCCTTGGGCGCTGGAGCTGTGAAATTAGGGGTGTTATCAACAGTCTTCTGAGCATCTACTGGTATCTCCTTTAATGTTTCTGTCTGTGCATCCTGAAATGTGTCTGTCTGTTCGTCTTCAGAACTGCTTGTCTGCGGGTCAGTAGATAGTGCATCACCACTTGAAATCTCTTCATCACTGTTTAGTGAAATGCCATCATCAGAGTAGTCTGCACTACTCATCTGGCATTCCAACTGCTGTTAAATTACAACACAAACATACCTGTAATGCTAATATATTTCTGTAGGGCTTTTTTACATGTTAGTAGACCTCAAATAGTGCCTAGTAATACAATAAAAGTGTTATCACTTTTATCTAACAAAACAAGTTTTTTATAGGTAATTTTCATTTAAATGTAAATCCAAAACAAGAGGCCCAGAGAGCCTTAATAAACTACCTGGTATGAAGTAACCTACATGTAAATAAAACTGTACATTTCATAAAACATATCTGACCCTATGTCTTGGAATGTACATAAAGTCATTGTTTTTTTCAAAGTCAATAGCCCTTTACCGTAGTAAACTACAGACCAAACACCACAATTCTAGCCTTCTTGATTTTTCAGAAGTTGTTAAATTCTATTTCGATAAATTTAGACCGTGAAAACAGGCAAAGCCAATTTCCCTCAGGAAGAAATTAGCTATTAAGTCAATTTCCCCTCCCCTGCAAAAACCAGTTAGCCAATTCTTCCTTCCTTCAAGGTATTCCTGCTGTAACACCAGTGTTTTCTACTTACCAGGTATTCCTGTTGTAACACCAGTGTTTTCTACTTACCAGGTATTCCTGGCGTAACACCAGAGTTTTCTACTTACCAGGTATTCCTGCTGTAACACCAGAGTTTTCTACTTACCATGTATTCCTGCTGTAACACCATAGCTTTCTACTTACCAGGTATTCCTGCTGTAACACCATAGCTTTCTACTTACCATGTATTCCTGCTGTAACACCAGTGTTTTTTACTTACCAGGTATTCCTGCTGTAACACCATTGTTTTCTACTTACCAGGTATTCCTGCTGTAACACTATAGCTTTCTACTTACCAGGTATTCCTGTTGTAACACCATAGCTTTCTACTTACCAGGTATTCCTGCTGTAACACCCTTGTTTTCTACTTACCAGGTATTCCTGTTGTAACACCATAGCTTTCTACTTACCAGGTATTCCTGCTGTATCACCAGTGTTTTCTACTTACCAGGTATTCCTGCTGTAACATCAGTGTTTTCTACTTACCAGGTATTCCTGTTGTAACACCATAGCTTTCTTCTTACCAGGTATTCCTGCTGTAACACCTTTGTTTTCTACTTACCAGGTATTCCTGCTGTAACACCAGTGTTTTCTACTTACCAAGTATTCCTGCTGTAACATCAGTGTTTTCTACTTACCAGGTATTCCTGCTGTAACACCATAGCTTTCTACGTACCAGGTATTCCTGCTGTAACAACTGTTTTCTACTTACCAGGTATTCCTGCTGTAACAACTGTTTTCTATCTTTGTCTGTTCTGTCAACAGCTTTCACATGGAATTTCTTGATGTCAGCATATTCTGCATGGCTTGTGGCCATCCCTCCATTCTTTATCTTCAGCATTGTTTGATTATAGTAATTGACTGATTCTTTGAGCAGTCTCATTCCCTGGTCTGTAAAAGTTAAAATTATATTAAAGACTATATTACTGTGTACATCATTTAATCAAATTATTTTCAATGCACAAATTGTATTAATGACAGGTTTGATAACCTCTAATGGACCAATAACCCCCCCTGCCAACAGTCCGACCATACTTGTTATATACACACGTGTAAGTCCCCTTGGGCAAAGGGATTCTTATACAGATTTATTTTATCTCTTTATCTGCAATAGTGAGGACATTTTAATACTGGTCTCTCTAATTCCCTTGTTTGATCCACTCCCTCTGCACCTTCAGGCAGGTGAGCTTAAAACCAAACGCCTTATTGTTCGCTTTAATACAAAGACTATTATAAAAGGATATCCGATGGGACAATAAATTATGATTTACATGTATATTAATAGTTTAATACAATTGAAATTTATTTATCAGATTTACTGCGAATAAAGTCACAAGAATAGTTATAATCTTCAAATCATGATCAGGATAACTTCGCACTGTGAATTATCAAAAAGTAAACAATGGGTTTGGACTGATGAAACTATATAAAGCAGTTATGTGAAAAATATGGGTATGTAAATACAAACCAGTATCATGGTCTCGCATCATCTGGTCACCCCAGTTATACAGAATACGAGCCACATTATTATAACTCAATGTCAAGTCCACATGTGGTTCACACACAATCTTTTTTTGTACTTCCAGACATCTTTTAGCATCAGATCTTGCTTCCTCATACTTTTTTAACTGAAGATACAAAACAGATCTGTTTCTCAGTGCTGAAGCATGGGATTCTGTGTTATCCGTGCCACGCATTCGTCCTGTTGCTATTGTATTGCTGAAATGTTCTAGTGCCTCGTTGATATACCTGTCGCAGGATGACTGGTCCAAAGTCCTGTCAATTACATCCTTCAGCAAACAAACAGCACGGTTATTCCTGAACAGGTCGACATCTGGATGGTCATCTCCTACACCAGGAGGTCTCCTGTGTGATGCCTTTTCTATTGCTTTTTCATGAAACAGCCTGCATTTTTCATTGTCATGCTGGTAGTAGTAACAACCAAAGTCATTGTAAACATTGGCAAGTATCATTGTGTGTCTTGGTTCAAGACTTCCACAGTCCTCTAAATACTCCCTAGCTTTTTCCAAGTTGTCCCATACCTTTTGACGTATTTCAACTTTTTTGAAGTACAATGCCTTTCGATAGTAGTAGTTTCCTAGTGCTTTTTTCATACTAGCTTGATGCGATCTCCTCGGTCTGCTCATTACATCAGCAAGCTTTTTCTCTGTTTTACTTATAATGGCGGGTATGCCTGTAGTGTCATCCATTTCTATCAACAGCTGGATGTAGTAGCCATGGAAATCGAACCACATTTCAATGTCATTATTACGTTCAGCTCTTTCTGTAACCCAGCGAAGCCAGGCTAGCTGGCCTTTTTGTGAAAGCGTACGTCTTCCAATCTCCGAAATTCTGTTTAATGTGTCCAGATTAAAGGTTCCAGCCTTAATATCAGAATCTCTTCTTATTTCTGAGATAACTTCAAAAAAGCTATTAATGTGCACATTGTACTCTCTCAAATGAGATTCAGCATTATAAAAAGAGTTTTCTTGTTCCTTTCCGATTATTGTAATAATCCTTACCATATATTCAAAAAACCTGATTCTTGCAGACCTCATTACATCAGAAAATTGACTTTTCTGCTTGGAAAGAAATTCAAACACCAAGGGGTGAAGGGAGTAAAGTACACTTCTGTTGCTGTCTCCCAATTCCGGAGGTCTCGGCTTCCTGTTCTGGACCACGTCTCCTTCTGTCTGAATGGTCAAATCTTGGACCTCAATAAGATGACAGCTTTTCAAACGGAATACATTCATCTTTGTCATCAGATCTTGTGACTTTGGGGCATTGTCTTCCATCTTTGTCATCTGATCTTGTGACTTTGGGGCATTGTTTCCCTTTATAACAGCATTGGCAGCCTGAAGGTCAAAAGATGAGGTCTTAAACAAGGTCAGCTGCATCAGAATATTCTTCATGCTTTCTTCAAGTCTGTCAAAACTCTCCCGAAGGCATTTCTCCATGCCAACCATAGAGAGTTTTTCAGCATCGCTCCTCAGATGTGCAATCACCTCAGTTGGTTTAACTTGTCTAAAGCAGTTTTTCAGAATACTGCATATTGTACGTAAAGCGAGGGGGTTTCCATCAGTCAGGATAACAAGACTGTCACATTCGTCATCTGACACCAGACCCTGCACAATATATGGAGGCAAACTTTACAACCAAATAATAGATCATACCAAATAACCATTCAAATCATATTGTGACCAAAAGAACAAATATTCTATGTTTCACTTTGCTGGTAAACTATTGATTTTTAATATTATGACAAATGTAGAATCATCATTTGTTTGAAGGTGGTCAAGCAGTGGTTTAAAAGTTCAAACAAATGAATAAGATAAGATTAAGATTTGAAGACAAGAATTCATTCTAACTTTAGCACTTGTTTTGCCTTAAATCTGGATGTCAAGGTCACAGTGATCTAATTACAATGCACTTTACACCTTGTGTGGGTGATGTATGTATACTTCAAGTTTCACCTTTAAGTTTACAACAATTTAACTGAAAATTTTGCACTTGTTTGACCTCTTATATATTCTATTAATTTGAAAATGTAACAGGAAGAGAGTGATCAAGTCACAGAAAAGTAGTTCTTCATGATGTAGAGTATTCCTACTCCTACTCCTAGTGTAGAGTATTAATACTCCATACATATCATTGAAGAAAGTGGACATGAACTTATAAACTGATGAACAACAGAATGTTTATTCTCACAATTTTGACACTACCTTCATTGTAAAATCAAGGGTTGGTTTTTCAGATAGCTCCAACAATTCTTATGGTCCATAACAGTAGACTATTCCAACAATTATTGCACTGTTAACATAACTATCAATTCCATTTATATTTTGACAGTTGGCTATTCCAACAAATAGTCTTTTGGATTAATACCCATACGTCGACTATACCTACAAAATCTACTATGTCGACTATACCTACAAAATCTACTATGTCGACTATACCTACAAAATCTACTATGTCGACTATACCTACAAAATCTACTATTTCGACTATACCTACAAAATCTACTATTCCAACATCACTGACACAAACTTCACTGTGAAGCCAGAGTTGAGTTTTTGTACATTACCTAATTATTTAAACAATGCTGACTAATCCCACATTTTTGACCAGAGACGCATAATACACGTCTTTGTTCCAACAAATTCAACTTTTAGTATTCTGGCAAAATATATATATATATATCAACAAAACAGCCTAATAGAACAATAGTAATTATTTCCACTCATTTAAGTAATTCATGAATACCTACAGCAGATATTTACAAAAAAATATTTTCAATTTCAGATATTATGAAGAAAAAGAATTGAAAAATGAAAATTTCATAGAAAAAATAGACAGAGTCAAACTCTACAAATATTGTCTATCTGCTTCACTTAATTATAACTACCGGGTTATTTCAAATACTGCGACCATATAGGCCATTGTTGTCATTGTAGGAAAAGTCGGCATTGTCTGAAAAGTCGGCATTGTTAGCTAGAATAGCCAATTGTACACTATTTTGAATGTGGGAAACCTGCATATTCGAAGGTTGGCATTGTTGGAAAAGTTTGATGTGTTGGAAAAGTTGACCATATACAATTTTGGAAATAGCGACATCGTCAGAATAGTCAACCATATACTATACTAAATGTTGTCGCCATAGGTCGGGGGGGGGGGGGGGGGGGGGGGGGGGTTGTGTATTAATAGACTACATTTTAAACATAATTTCAATATTTATCATAGTCAACAATCAATAAACAGAACTATATCAGACTTGACCTAAAGAGAGGAGTTTGTTTCCACCAGGGATTGAACCAGTGACCCACTAGTGCTTCCTAGTCCTTCACTCTACCAATGGAGCTTAAGTGAAATTCCACTCTAGTATGAAGCTTGGAGAAGTCAACCGTAATCCTCGGTACAATTAAAACCTGACACAGGGTACCAGGTATATTAAAACCTGACACAAGGTACCAGGTATATTAAACCCTGACACAAAATACCAGTTATATTAAAACCTGACACAGGGTACAAGGTATACTAAAACCTGACGCAGGGTACCAGGTATATTAAAACCTGAGACAAAATACCAGGTATATTAAAACCTGACACAAGGTACCAGGAATATTAAAACCTGACACAGGGTACAAGTTATATTAAAACCTGACACAAGGTACCAGGAATATTAAAACCTGACACAGGGTACAAGGTATACTAAATCCTGACACAGGGTACAAGGTATACTAAAGCCTGACACAGGGTACCAGGTATATTAAAACCTGACACAAAATACCAGGTATATTAAAACCTGACACAGGGTACCAGGAATATTAAAACCTGACACAGGGTACAAGTTATATTAAAACCTGACACAGGGTACCAGGTATATTAAACCCTGACACAAAATACCAGGTATATTAAAACCTGACACAAAATACCAGGTATATTAAAACCTGACACAAAATACCAGGTATATTTAAACCTGACACAGGGTACAAGTTATATTAAAACCTGACACAAGGTACCAGGTATATTAAAACCTGACACAAAATACCAGGCATATTAAAACCTGACACAGGGTACCAGGTATTTTAAAACCTGACACACTAGGGTACCAGGTATATTTAAACCTGACACAGGGTACCAGATATTTAACAAACAGTACACTTATGTCAGGTATATTAAAACCTTACACAGGGTACCATGTATATTAAAACCTGACACAGGGTATACGTACCAGGTATATTTAAACCTGACACAGGGTACCAGGTATATTAAAACCTGACACAGGGTACCAGGTATATTAAAACCTGACACACTAGGGTACCAGGTATATTTAAACCTGACACAGGGTACCAGGTATATTAAAACCTGACACAGGGTACCAGGTATATTAAACCTGACACAGGGTACCAGGTATATTAAAACCTGGCACAGGGTACCAGGTATATTAAAACCTGACACAGGGTACCAGGAATATTGAAAAAAGACTACGACTTTCTGTGGAATGGCCATAACAAATTTTAACAGGCAGCCATCTAATAATATAGCTATATTATTCTTGTCATTTATCACAAAATAATACTTTAACAAGGTTAAGTATTGCAAGGCAATCCATAGTCCCCCACTGGTAATGATTTCTATATTTAACAAACAGTACACTTATGTCAGGATGTACTTTCTGCTAAGAAAGTATCCTGATACATACATCTTCCACTTCGCTTTCCCAAGATGTCCTTGTACACCAAATCTGGTAACTCCAGGTGAAAAAAGCTAGAAAATATTCCCCGAACACACTTTTTCAAAAGTTAAGGTCAAAGGTCAAGTCATAGGTCACAGTGACCTAAATCTTTCACTCTGCACTCAGCCATCCAAAGATGTCCTTGTACACCAAAACTGATTACTTCAGGTAAAAAAGAATAGAAGATATGCCCAGACAAACTTTTTCAAAAGTTAAGGTCAAAGGTCAAAGCATAGGTCACAGTGAGGTCATAGTGACCTAAATCTTGCACTCTGCACTCCGCCATCCCAAAAAAGTCCTTGTACACCAAATCTGGTTACTCCAGGTGAAAAAGGATAGAAGATATGTCCCGGACAAACTTCTCGGACGTAAGGACGTACAGACGGAGTGCAAACCTATAGTACCCCCCCCCCCCCCCCCCCCCCCCCCCCCGGAACTAGTGGGGGCTAACAATAGAGATCTAATGGCAAAGTTATTATAATAGGAAATCTGAAAAGATCCACAGCACATTTTCTACATATTCCGACAGAATCTCTGGAAAAGAAAGTGTGGATGGTCTTACAGACAGATGAACAAACAGACACCACAATTTCTATATCACACAACATGACAATTACTCTAAATTAACCCAGAAAAACATCAAAGGCATGAATTTATGAGAATTATGACACAGACTTTGACTTGGGTGAGTTTCTAATATCTTAAATGATGGATGGTCTTGTTACCTTTGGAGTACACTTCCTGATAAGTTCCTTCGCGTGGTGTGTCTCTAACTGTTGTACCTTCACCGGCCTCATTAACTCCCTCAAGTCTGATATGGTCGGTCCAGACGTGTCACACTGGAGGTTTACACGGCTTGTGATGATCACCCTGACCTGCCATCATCAATAACACATCTCGCATAAACACAGGTTATGCCTTGTTGATTTCAAATAATTATTTAACAGTGTTTTAGTTAGGATTAAAATCTCTGAATCCCTACGGTAGAAGAAGGATTTTAAAGGTTTTACCTCTATTTACCCTATTGGGCCCCGCCCCTCTGCAGTATGGCATAAGCTCACCATGGTCCTTCAGACCAGGTGAGCCAAAAAGTATACAGGTGGGGTAATGACCATAATTTAATTGTAAATTATTTCTATATGCCTCCCAAAACTTCATTGTTGCCCTGGTACAGCTTACAAATAAATGGAAAAAAATTTGATGTGTAAGAAATAAATCAATGCAAGAAAACGCCAATGGCGATATGGCCAGATTGCTACAGTACATTTAACGTTCATACTACCGTATACGCCGTCGAAATGAAGGTCAATCCTTATATTTACATCATAAACAATGTCAAAATGCAAAACAAAGAAAAAACAAACATTTGAAGCGGGTTTCTACAATGGTAACTACGGTAGCCGTGATTGCTAGAGTAATATAGTTCCAGTTAATCTACATCGATATGTTGATAAACTTAGAAAATATGCAGTGAACAAAACTATTTTTCTTCTTTTCAGCACTTTTGAATTTTTAATTCAGTAATATTAGTAGCACTTCAAACATATTTATTTATTTATAAGGGTCGTTATGTACACGCATTGACACACTGTCTGGCAGTGACGCGGTCAAACGTCGCAAAAGGAAGCCGCCATTGTTTGCTTCACCATCAAAGAATTTTGAATATGTATCCATGGAATAAGAATTTAGCCAGCATCCCTTTGTTGTATGATAAATCAGACATAATGGATCCAAAATATGTTCCATGTTTCTAGATGTTGAAGAACCAAACAATGGCTGTCACCAAACAGTTATTGTACTGAAGTGTGAACAGCGCCATGTTTGAAACAGATATCAATCCACAGAGCCTTTTTTTCATTGCGTATACACTAATTTATTTGCAGTCAGAGTTTACTGAGCTAAAAAGGAAGAGATGTAAATATTTTCATGTAAAGCATCACAGGTGATAAGAATCCTTTAAGATACATAAATCATGCAAGTTTAGTTGATGTACAACAAGTAGTTACTTAGTAACAGACCTTAATCATAGTGCAGATGGGGCCTGACCTTAACCAATCTTCTTAACCTGGTCACTGAAGCGGAAAACGTAGGTCAGAACCAGCATCCGAAGCATCGCATGTGATTAGAATCCTTAGATACATAAGCCAGCCATGCAAGTTTAGTTGATGTGGGATAATTAATACCTTGGAAACTGAGCTTAACTATTCTCCTTAACCTAAGTGCGGACGGACGGATGGACGGACAGACGGACGGACAGACAAACGGACATCGCCAATCTATATGCCCTATAATCATGTTGCAATCAAGCCAAAAATGCCTCCAAATGAGCACTATTCATATTTTTTTAATACTTATATTATAAACATGTTTATAATACTTATAAACACCTAAGGCTGAGTAAGTGGAGATGGGAAATATGAAAAAAATATCAGGAAACTAAACATTTTACCTTGCATTTTTTCTGTAACTCCTTCAAAAGTTTTTGGACAAAGAGCAGAAATTCTTTTTCATTTTTGTTAATTATGTCGTCAACATTATCAAGCATGACGATCGTTCCTGTAATGATAAAAATATCACAAAAGTCACAGTTTTTAAAACACTGGTAAATAAGATATTTGATATTTAATTATGTAACATTATTTTCTTCTTATTTAAGTTAAATCATTTTACTTTGACATCACAGAAATAAAAAGTCCTATTTGATATTTCAGATTTTTTCAAAGCCTTGAGTTACTCTCAGGAAGGTCTTGAGTTTAAATGATACACCAGTGCCAAAATTAAATCTGTATAAATAACAAACAAGAGGCCCAGAGGGCCTGTATCACTCACCTGGAAATGTTAGCAAAATTGAAGTTAAAATAGCCATATGTTGCTGGAAGTATACATGTATTACATTTGGTCAAAATACCTTCACCCCAACGGAAGAAGAAGGATATTAAAGCTATTCTTCTATATCCCTTATTGGGCCCCACCTCTCTGCCCCAAGGAGGGGTCAGACCCACCGTTTATACAAAATTGGTTCCCCTTCACCCAAGGGTGTTTCATACCAAATTTGGACAAAATCCTGTCATTCCTACAGTAGAAGAAGCATTTTGAAGAATTTGCTATGTTTCCCCTATTGGGCACTACCCCTATGCCCCCAGGGGGGCCACTGCAAATCACCGTTTATACAAATTAAATCCCCTTGGCCCAAGGATGCTTCAGACTAAATTAGGATAAAATCCTTTAATCCCTACAGTAATAGAAGGTTTTTGAATGTTTAACCTCTATTTACCCTATTGGGCCCCACCCCTCTGCCCCCAGTGGGGGCCACACCCACCGTTTATACAAAATTGAGTCCCCTTGGTCTAAGGATGCTCCAGACCAAATTTAGTCAAAATCTACTTGGCCGTTCAGGACTAGTAGCATTTTATAGGAAAAGTTGAAGGACTGACAACGGACGGACGATGGACACTGCGGTATGGCATAAAAATCAATGTAAATTGGTTGTAAATGTCCCTTGCAACCTTTTAGTGTTGCTAAAATGTTATCTGACACTGGCAGATATGACTTATGTTTTGTTTTTTTCCCATTAGATAAGCACCAGAATGAAAAGAACTTTTGTCAATAGATAGAATATAGGACTTTTTGTCAATAGATGGAATATAGGACTTTTTGTCAATAGATAGAATATAGGACTTTTTGTCAATAGATAGAATACAGGACTTTTTGTCAATAGATAGAATATAGGACTTTTTGTCAATAGATAGAATACAGGACTTTTCTGTCAATAGATAGAATATAGGACTTTTTGTCAATATATAGAATATAGGACTTTTTGTCAATAGATAGAATACAGGACTTTTCTGTCAATATATAGAATATAGGACTTTTTGTCAATATATAGAATATAGGACTTTTTGTCAATAGATAGAATACAGGACTTTTCTGTCAATATATAGAATATAGGACTTTTTGTCAATATATAGAATATAGGACTTTTTGTCAATAGATAGAATACAGGACTTTTCTGTCAATATATAGAATATAGGACTTTTTGTCAATATATAGAATATAGGACTTTTTGTCAATAGATAGAATATAGGACTTTTTGTCAATAGATAGAATACAGGACTTTTTGTCAATAGATAGAATACAGGACTTTTCTGTCAATAGATAGAATATAGGACTTTTTGTCAATAGATAGAATACAGGACTTTTTGTCAATAGATAGAATACAGGACTTTTCTGTCAATAGATAGAATATAGGACTTTTTGTCAATAGATAGAATACAGGACTTTTTGTCAATATATAGAATATAGGACTTTTTGTCAATAGATAGAATATAGGACTTTTTGTCAATAGATAGAATATAGGACTTTTTGTCAATAGATAGAATACAGGACTTTTTGTCAATAGATAGAATACAGGACTTTTTGTCAATAGATAGAATACAGGACTTTTTGTCAATATATAGAATATAGGACTTTTTGTCAATAGATAGAATATAGGACTTTTTGTCAATAGATAGAATACAGGACTTTTTGTCAATAGATAGAATACAGGACTTTTTGTCAATATATAGAATATAGGACTTTTCTGTCAATAGATAGAATACAGGACTTTTTGTCAATAGATAGAATACAGGACTTTTTGTCAATATATAGAATATAGGACTTTTCTGTCAATATATAGAATATAGGACTTTTTGTCAATAGAAAGAATATAGGACTTTTTGTCAATATATAGAATATAGGACTTTTTGTCAATAGAAAGAATATAGGACTTTTTGTCAATATATAGAATATAGGACTTTTTGTCAATAGAAAGAATATAGGACTTTTTGTCAATATATAGAATATAGGACTTTTTGTCAATATATAGAATATAGGACTTTTTGTCAATATATAGAATATAGGACTTTTTGTCAATATATAGAATATAGGACTTTTTGTCAATATATAGAATATAGGACTTTTTGTCAATATATAGAATATAGGACTTTTTGTCAATATATAGAATATAGGACTTTTCTGTCAATAGATAGAATACAGGACTTTTTGTCAATAGATAGAATACAGGACTTTTTGTCAATATATAGAATATAGGACTTTTCTGTCAATATATAGAATATAGGACTTTTTGTCAATAGAAAGAATATAGGACTTTTTGTCAATATATAGAATATAGGACTTTTTGTCAATAGAAAGAATATAGGACTTTTTGTCAATATATAGAATATAGGACTTTTTGTCAATAGAAAGAATATAGGACTTTTTGTCAATATATAGAATATAGGACTTTTTGTCAATAGAAAGAATATAGGACTTTTTGTCAATATATAGAATATAGGACTTTTTGTCAATAGAAAGAATATAGGACTTTTTGTCAATATATAGAATATAGGACTTTTTGTCAATATATAGAATATAGGACTTTTCTGTCAATAGATAGAATACAGGACTTTTTGTCAATAGATAGAATACAGGACTTTTTGTCAATATATAGAATATAGGACTTTTTGTCAATAGATAGAATATAGGACTTTTTGTCAATAGATAGAATACAGGACTTTTTGTCAATATATAGAATATAGGACTTTTTGTCAATATATAGAATATAGGACTTTTCTGTCAATAGATAGAATACAGGACTTTTTGTCAATAGATAGAATACAGGACTTTTTGTCAATATATAGAATATAGGACTTTTCTGTCAATATATAGAATATAGGACTTTTTGTCAATAGAAAGCATATAGGACTTTTTCAGTTTTCAAAAAGGAGAAATACATTGAGTTTATAATGATCTTAAAATACTTATAATGATTGGTTGGTCAGGTGGCACAGTGGAGAGCACTCTTGTCTTTCACCAAGATGGCTATGCAAGTCCCATTTCGGACATGAAATGGTATTTGTGTCAATGGCCTGACCACTTGGGTATTAAACAGGTACTCCAGTTTGCTCCCACAATAAGAATCTCCACACCATCCGGGCCAACAGGAGTAATTAATTTAAGCATAAAATAACATCTACGAATAGAAAAACTTGTAATACTTTGACGTTGAATTCATTATGAAATTGTGAAGCAAGACAAGTCTACAGCAAACTAATACACTAACAGGTCATCAAGAGCCCTACCACCACGGTCCATTTATAGTAACAGCGACCTTGACCTTGACCTAGATAGAACGAGCTGTGTGTGCTTTGTGACACACTAATAGTCATTATTATATAATATATAAACAACATGTATATGTCTATTTTAGAATAATAACAACTTAAATATATCATTCCTGTTAGCCTGAATGGAAGCATGCAGGGAGTCTATTTGTGGGAGGACACAAGAGTGACCGGAGAAAACCCAAGGGGTCAGGCAGGTGATTCAATAGATGTTCATGTCTGATTGGAGAGTCTAACCAAGCTGTCTTGATGAAAGGCAAATGCGCTATCAACTGCGCCACCTGACTACCCAAAGTCATTATCACAAATACGCATGTATCTAGGAAATTTCATGAAATAAAATTCAGCTCTTGAAAAGTTACAGCACAGGGAAGCAGTGTGTTGATTTTAATTTTGACATCTGCTGTGACCTTGACATAAAGGATAGGGACCTGTGTAAAGCATGCACCACACACCACAAGTCACGTGATGTATAGGATATTTTGTCAAATAATTTTCAGCAGTTTTGATGTAATTGCACAGACTACATGTGAATGGATGAACAGACTGACAAGGTAAGGGTATATAATCCTATACATGGTAGGGGTCATAGCTATGGCAATACTACTGACTGCGGTTGATTCTGCCGAGCTGGTCTAAAATGGTTGCTTGCAGCTTTATGTCCATGGTATCCTGTAGGCTGTTATGTAGATCCTCTGATGAGTCCATGCCATCATCTTTCTGTTGCAGTTCCAAAATTATGTCCTTAAACAAATCCCCCAGCGAGTCTTTCTCCCTGAAATACAAGTGCATACAAGCCCACTTGTTATGTTTTGTTTTTATATGAAACAGACAGAGGGATTTCAAGAATTTGTTTGGTAAACTTTTTGTATGAATGTTTAGTTTCTTTTATAACTACAACCTTTCGGCAATCTTGATAGAACTTGTTATCTTGCAGCATTTCAAATATTACGAATATATGTTCGATTAATCATGAAATGTAAACACTCAAGCTTCTGACAATAAACCATCATTGCATGCCACTTGTAGGAGCAGAAGCAGATTAAAATCCATGGTTTGCGACAATGACAATAAACATGCATTAATGAAATTATTTTTTGGGCATATAATTATTTTGATGTGATTTTATTTATTGAAAGTCCTGAATAATCATTTTTCCTATCAACAAAATGCTAATTTAAGTAGGACCTAAGGATCATCTAGGTCAGATTAAGTGAAAATTTCTTCATCAATATTCAACAAATATGAAGTTTAATGATTTATCTACATATTTCCCCTATTGAGCCTCATCCCTACTCCCAAGGGTGGCGACACCTTCTGTTTATACAGTGACAATTTCCCATATGGCAAAACGGTACTATGTACAGAACAAATTAAATTAAAATCATTTTACCTATATACTCAAGCAGTCAGATTTTAAAAATTACCTATATTTCCCCCTTGTGCCCTAACCCTGAACTGCCCATAGAGAAGCCGCACCCTTTATATATACATGGTTGAATCAAATTAGGCAAAGGATACTGAGCAATTTGAATTGAGTCCCTTTTGCCCAAGGATGCTCTACACAAAATTTGTTTAAACTCTCTCAAATCATACTAAAGGAGAAGGATTTTAATCTTGTATTACTAAGTTCCCCCTACTGGGCCTCGCCCCTCTGCCCCAGGGGATGGGGGTATCAAACACTCCCTTTTAATGAAATTGGGCCCCCCTTGCCTAAAGATGCTCTGGACCAAATAAGTTTAAAATTCCTTTAATGGCAGAAAGAAGAGGAAGGATTTTAAAAATTTGTCTCGATTTACTCTATTGGGCCCTGTCCCTCTGCATCTATAAAGATGTTCAGGGGTTTCAAAAAGGGCCAGCATGCAGTAGCCAGTAAATTTGTACCTGTTGAAATAAGTATCATCACCAAGTAATGTGTTACGGTAGATGTTTTATTGTTGACATGTTTAGGTAGGCTAGGCCTACCATCATCAGAGCAATTTTACACCACATACGTACACATATGTATAATAATTAGTATGAAACTTTACTCGGGTATTTAAAGCTAAACATAGGATATAGTTACATGTAACCTCATTATAAGTATATTTCATGGACAACAAATGTTGTAATTAATACAGTAAGGCGGGATTAAATACAGTTATCTAGTGTTCTCGAAGTCATGCGTGGTAATATTGTTCTTGAACAAAATTTAATCGACGAACGTTTTAATACCTGCTTGCTCATTCAAGTGTGTACTCCTCAGATTATCATCATGACATCACATATGTAAAATCTTTACAATAGAGTGCAACACTAACATATCAGTCTGAGCACTGTTTTTATTACAAAGCTATTTGATTTCGGTCACATCTAAAGATAATTTGTAGGTCTAAACCAGGGAAACATTGGGCTCCCAAAAGGGTAAAATAAATGTCAGATAGTTCCGTTATTGATTTTGGTAACCGGTTTGTGGTCTTCAGACCAAGTAACCACGATTAACTAGTTAACCACAGACAACTCTCCATGGAATGCATCTCATGGTAACTTCTAAAGAAAGCTTTATTCTGCTTTGTATGACATTGTTCTATCAAAGTGAGGTTTTGGTTTAGACCTACTTACTATGTATTTAATGTGTAACACAAGGGGAACCTTATTTAAAATTGGAGAAGATCTGTCTAGAAATTCTTGGGAAATGTTGATAACAACTGGGATATGTATCAAATTTCAATATATTCATATAAAACACAAGCTTACACAGGATATCAAAATGTTATGAAAATACCTTAGTGGCATCATTACTCATTGTATTACATGGATAAATGCCAATTATTTATTAGATAACATGGATAAATGCCAATTATTCAATAGATTACCTGGATAAATGCCAATTATTCATGAGATTACATTGATAAATGCATGGTGTTGATACCTGTCTTATACATTTGCTAGACCACATTAAATGTAATACTAGTAAAGGTCTATACACTGGCATGTTGCTACTAGACCTACGCAAAGCTTTTGACACGGTTGACCATGACATTGTGTGGCAAGTTGAAAATGATGGGTGTGACATCTGTAAATTGGTTTAGATCATATCTGAGTAACAGACATCAGACAGTCAAAATTAACGATATCTACTCGGACCCAGCTACTATTACGTGTGGGGTACCCCAAGGTAGTATTTTAGGCCCTCTTTTATTCTTATGCTATGTCAACGATATGGCAATCAGCATTGATGGAGAATGCAAATTACTATTATATGCCGATGACAGTGTTTATATCCTTTTCGCACATAAAAGCCCAGAAATAATTTCCACGAAACTTGGTGCTGTACTTGAATCATGTGCAGAGTGGTTAGTTGATAATAAGCTTTCGTTGCATTTAGGTAAAACAGAGAGCATGCTATTTGGAACGGATTTTTTTTTAAAATCAAATTGATCATTTTGAATTTGTCGCAAACAATCATACCATCAAATCAACAAAATCTGTGAAATATCTTGGAGCTAATATAGATTGTTGTATGTCTGGCAAAGAAATAGTAGAAAACATTGTGAGGAAATTAAATTCTAGACTGAAATTTTTATACAGACAAAGTAAATGTCTAACTACAAAAACCAGACAAAATTTATGTTCTGCACTAATACAGTGCCACCTAGATTATGCATGCTCCGCGTGGTACTCAGGATTGAACAAGAAAATGAAGAACAAATTACAGGTTTTACAAAATAAAGTTGTCAGATTTATTAGCCAATTAGAACCCAGAAAGAGAATCACCCCCACTGAACTGTCAAAGCTCAATATGTTAAATATAGAATATAGAGTCAAACAATTAAGACTCAATCAGGTGCACAAGATTTTTTATGGAAAATGTCCATCCTACTTAAACCTGAACTTCATAAAAGTGTCAGGTGTTCATCAGCATCACACCCGATAACGTCTTTTTAATTTTGTTGTTCAACCATGTAAAGGGAAAGATACCTGTACTTTTTATTTTAATGGGATCCATGACTGGAATAGTCTGCCTGACAAAATCAAGGATATAAATTCCATATATGCATTTAAGGCAGCAGTGAAGAAACAACTCGCTTTTAAATTTCAAAATTCATGCTGATAACACAATTATATGTGATTGCGGTGGCACAAAACAAGTAGACTTTGCTGGTAGGGGGATCCCCAACCCTAAGAAAACAAACTTTGTGTCACTGCAATCCACATGCTGACGACATCTGTACTGTATTATTTTTGTTATTTAGAAATAGTTGGAAAGTCAAGTTACATATTTTAAGTTGGGCTAACTATTTAAACCTGAACATATATATATGTGTGTTTTTTAGATTATATAGTCATTACGGAATTACTATAGGTACTGACAATAAAGTTAATTTGTTGTCATTCATTCCCTCCTACCAAAATCTTTCCCCATGATCAATATAACATGGACCCCATTGGAAATAAGCTTTCGAGCTTTCATGGGCTATCCTCAGGTTTATAGATCAATGTTTGTGTTGTACTAATTGTATAAATATAATTACCTATATCTTAAAATCAGTTATGAATTTTAGTTTCATATATAATATAATATTTTAAAATAATTCAATATTTTATTACTGACGATAATTTAAGGCATGTAGGTTCATTAATATTTGAGCATCTGGAGAGCTTGTAGGAAGGGGATGCCCAATCACCTGCTCCTTGGACTGCCCCAAAAACCTGTGACATTCTGTTTAATATTTTTAGTAATATATATGTATGTTGTACTGTAATATGTACGTCAACTGTCATGTTACATGTGATGTCTATGATCTATTTCCTGAAATAAACATTATTATTATTATTATGACATTGACACTGAAGAGGTCTACTTCCACATACATGCATACAGAAAACTCTGAAGATTAAACACTTTCCTCAAGTTACATAGTAGTTATTGTTATTCTCAAGATATGACATGGTTATATAATCTGTCCTAAGAGCGCAGTATTTAAAACAAGAGTCCCAGAAGGGCCTGTATCGCTCACCTGTTTCTTTAATTACATGGAGTTGCTGGCGAAATCTTGTGAAGTGAGGTTGACTGGATATTAAGAAGCGATTGAAGGTTTACAATTATTTGACCAATGTGACCTTGGAACTTTGTCCGACTCTATCATACATTGATACTGGCCAAATATCATGACTCTACACCTTTTAGATCTTCAGAAGGAGTCGTTTGAAGGTTTTGACCTATTTGACCCCTGTGACCTTGAAAGTAGGTCAAAGTCATTTTCATTCACAAACATTGTCGAGCTCCATCATAGGATGCTACTGGCCATATATCATGAGTTTAGGCCTTTCGGATCTTTGGAAGAAGTCGTTTAAATGTTTTGATCTTTTTGACCCCTGTGACCTTCAAAGTAGGTCAAAGTCATTTTCATTCGCAAACTTTGTTGGGCTCCATCATAGGATGGTACTGGCCATATATCATGACTCTAGGCCTGTGGGATCTTCAGAAGAACTTGTTTGAATGTTTTGACCTATTTGACCCCTGTGACCTTGAGACTTGGCCAACTTAATTATCATTCGCAAACTTTGTCTGGTTTCATCATAGGATGATACTGGCCAAATATTATGTCTTCAGGCCTTTAGGGTCTTCAGAAGTAGTCATTTGAATGTTTTGACCTATTTGACCCCTGTGACCTTGAAAATAGGTCAAGGTAATTTTTTATTGCAAACTTTGTTGGGCTCCATCATAAGATGGTTTTGGCCATATATCATGACCCTAGGCCTTTCGAATATTAAGAAGATGTTGTTTGAATGTTTTTACCTATTTGATCCCTGTGACCTTAAAAGTGGTCCAACGTCATTTTTATTCGCAAACTTTGTAAGTCTTTATCATAGGATGCTATTGGCCAAATATCATGACTCTAGGCCTTTCAGATCTTCAGAAGAAGTTGTTTGAAGGTTTAGACCTATTTGGTCTCTGTGACCTTAACAGTAAGTCAAAGTCATTTTCATTCACAAACTATTTCGGGCTTCATCCAAGGATGTTACTGGCCGAATATCATGACTGTAGGACTTTTGGAACTTCAGAAGAAGTCTTTGAAACAAAACGTTGACGAAAGAAAGATCTTATCTTACTAGAATGTGAACTGCATTCAATACTAATAGTAACACCAATATTTACTCAATAATTAAAAGAATGATGAAGAAAAATATCAAACCAGGTCAGTCTCAAAATACAACAAACCCAATGAGACACCATTGGGAACCTACTTGTAAAATTTGTGAAAGATCATTCTGTTATTTCTGAAAAGAGCACTTAACAAGCTCTAATTCTCAAAATTCAAAATGGATGTGAAATTTGAGAACGATCCTTTCAGAACTTTCTGAGAAATAGTGCTAACAAGAATTAGTCAATGGTGGACAGACTGCAGACAAACTGTTGATTTGAACAACCCACCAACTGATGATGGTGGGCTAATACAATTGAGGCCCAGAGGGCCTGTATTGCTTACCTGGATCTTTATGCCCAGCAATGGTATATATGGCTATGGGTTGGAGATCTCAACCATTTTAAAGTTATGACCTAGAAGCCAAGTCCCTAATTGAAAGGGTTGGGGCCAGACACAAGAGTCAATACTGATATTATGATTGTGTTCGTCTCTTAATACCCAGCAATGGTTTATATGGTTATGGGGAGGGAATCTTAACTGTATCAAACATATATGACCCTAAAATTAAGACCCTACAGGTGGAGCCAGATCCCAGGGTCAATTATGAAATATGACTGTCTATCTCTCTATGCCTATTAAATGTATTTATGGTTCTGGGGTGAGAATCTAATTTTTTTTCAAAGTTATGGCCCAAACATTCAGTCCCTAGAGTAACGGCCAGACACAAGGGCCAATATTAATATCATGATTGAGTCCGTCTCTTGATGACCAGCAATGATACATATGGATATAGAGAGGGGATCTCAACTGTTTCAGTTCAGATATGGCTCAGGAATGAAGGTCCAAGGGGTGGGGCCAGAACCTTCTGTCAATTAAGCGGGACCTCGACCAGTTCTTGTTGGGTTAAAGTTCTATCCAGTTACCCGGAAAAGTGGTCCCAAAATGTAGGTCAATATTTATTGATTTTCCCGGTCAGAAATGTCACTCCTGACCGCTGTTTGACGCTGTTTGACGGGCCTTTAACACGTGTGACCAGTATACTTGCTATACCATTAAGTGCATGTATGCAATAAACTTTAAATGTTAACATAATATCAACTGAAATTCTGTTGAACGATGTAACTTATCATCCACTGGCAGCTATCTTCTGCATTCTGACCAGAGTGATGCACAGAAATATGTGCATAGCATGAGTGTAAAGTGAAATTACAAAAAATTCCCAGTCTGGTGGCTACAGCGATATGTAGCCAATTTATGACGATTTTGAGAATTTGCAGTGTTTTACAGCTGTATTTACAAGACATAACTATTGATTTATCTTTGTTTATGCATTTAGTGAAATATGTAATCATATTTATATCAAAATAAAGGGCCATTCTTTCGTGGCTGTATTTCATGGCATAGAAAAAAAGGTAACACGGTTTCGGTTTGGATAAGCACACACTGTTATCCGACTGGCAATTAATTTCTAACAGTTGCAGCCATAAATATATAAGTAAATTTTAGTAATTTGATGTTTTCATTGAAAATGCTGTCAAGGTCCCTTTAAATCACCTAAAATCTGTCTCTGCTCATAATGAACTGAAGTGATCTTTCTCAAATTTTACTGGTAAGTACTAAATGGTCTGTTCTGGTGTATGTTGCATTCTGAGAGTGACAGATAAAACCAGGATGGACCTGCTGAGGGCCTATAGTCATCTTTAAGACAAAGAAAAGGTGCTTCCTACAATTCTGAAAGCACACTCACACTCTCCTTTCATCTACTCTTGGTACCATATAATCTGTTAGACAGTTGATGTAGTTTGAGGAACTTACCTGAGATCAACTTTGATGACCTGCCAGTGTTTGGAATAGGCCCAAAGTCGGCGACAAATTTCATTGCCTAGAGTGGTCTTGCCTATGCCTCCAGAGCCCCATATACTCACACCTATAAATCATCAATTATATACTGGATTAATGTTATCACCACACTTCTGTACGGATCTTCAAGGCTAAGTTGTGATTCAAACCACAGAACTTTGCTGCAAGTATAAGAGTTCATTCAAACTGTTTAACTTTAAAAGTTTGTAAAGCCCTCGGGCCAGGTGAGCTCAACTGGATAAGAAAGCAACCATGGAAAATTATTCTTAATACGAATAATACTGCAACTATTTCCAGATATTGGCTCGGTCTCTCAGCAACACCCATCCCTCATTAGGTTCATTTTTTCTGCCCCCTAATTTGGGGTGGATTAACCTCAATTTCCCCTATTGGGCCCGCCCCTCTGCCTCATAAAAGCAACCATCTTTTTATACAAAATTTAAACCCCTTTCCCCAAGGATGCTCTACACAAAATTTGGTTAAAACCCTCCAAATAAACTGAAGGAAAAAGATTTTAAACATAAATAACTACTTGACTCTTCCCCTTTGCTCCCAGGGGGACTACATGCTGTTAAAACAAATTGAGTTCCCCTTGCAAAATGATGCTCTGGATGAAATTTGGTCAAAATATCTCCAATCATACTGAAGGAAAAGGATTTTGAAAATTGAAACCTTTGATTCCCCTTTTGGGCCCCATCTCTCTGCACCAAGAGACGCAACAGTGACACCCTCCGTTTATACAAAATTTAGTCCCCTTTGTCAAAGGATGCTCCAGACCAAATTTGGTTAAAATAACTCCTATCGTAAATATTTTAAAGATTTAAACCTCACACTCCCCTTATGGGCCCTGCCTCTCTGCACCTAAAGGGACCAGACTCTCTGTTTAAACAAACGGTAAAGAGTCTATGGAGCTAGGGCATGGATAACACATCCACACAGCAATTTAATACTAATCTGTAAAATAAAGATGAAAAACAACTGACTAATAATTATTTAATATTTAATAAGTTTGCTGGAGACGGACAAACATGGAAAATAAAAATAGAACAAGAGGCCCAAGAGCCTTGGCGGTCACCTGAGTTATATTATAGGTACTAGTAGCTCAATTTCATTGTTGAGATGTACAAAATGTGGGAAACAACATGCAAACAAAGTGAAATACAATAGCTGTCATGTCACCAAAGGATAAAAACTTTAAAAACTATTCAAATAAATTATTTGCTGTTGAGATTTATACCCTCTCACCAAGGGGGAGCAGAAGAACTGGGGGATAGTAAAATTTACAATTAATGTAAAGGTAATTTAGGTAAGGACCTTTTCTATCCATGAACAGTAAAACATCTGATTCTGATGAAGAAGATTTTTTAACTTTTAACCATAATCCCCATTTGGGCCCCACCCTTCCAGCCCCTGGGGTTGGGGCAGGATCTTAATTTCTCATACCATCTAATTGACATCTGGCATCATAGTCATTCCAACCAATAATGAATAATTTTTTGCTGAAAATGGACAAAATATACCCAAAAGTTTTATTTCCATATATAAACTAAAGTCAACTTTACCCCTCCCCGAAGCAGAAGGGATGGCCCGGGGTAATACAATTGAAAAATAGATGAAGCCCATGACAAAATGTTCATCCATGCACAGAATGTGATTGTACTACGTCTAAGTCTGAAGAAGATTTTTAAAATATTGGTTATTTTTCCCATTGGTACCCCACCCTGGCCCCTGGGGGTTGGGGCAGGAATCCCAATTTTACAATTTGATACCATTTTCCTCCAATGATGATTCTCACCAAGTAAGATTAATTTTCTACTGAAAATTGACAAAATATACCCAAAAGTGTTATTTCCCTATATAAACTATAGTAAATTTTACCCCCTCCCCAAAGGAGAACAGATGGCCTTGGGGTACTGAAATGTACAACTTAAACCAAGCCCCTGATGATCTTTTTATACATGCAAAGAAATTGACTGTAGTACCTCTGAGTCTTAAAAAGAAGATTTTTGAAATATTGGTTAATTTTCCTTTAGGGGACGGGCGCCCTGGCCCCTGGAGTTGGGTTAGGTATCCCTATTTTACAATTTTGTAGCCTCATCTACCAAGGATGTTTCTGATCAAGTTTGAAAAAATTCCATCCACTGGTTCTTGAGGAGAAGTCCAAGATGTAAAAAGTTTACGCACGACGGATAACGGATGACGCACAACACACGACGACGAATGGAAAGCGATCAGAATTGGTCCCTGGAGCAAAGCTCAGATGACCTAAAAAACATGGACCGAAATTGAGAACAGGAGTTAGATGAATTAGCTTTTGTTCCGCGCGTAGAACTCGCCATAATGTTTCCCGACACATCAGGCAATATAAGTAAACATTAAAGACAAATTGAATATGAGATTAATCATAACAGATACATAAATACCATAGTGTAAAACAAGATCTGAATAGCGATCGTACCATTTCTATGGTGTTGATTGTAGTCTCGTAGGTACACACTTGTGCTTATGCACATAACTTATTTGTCAACAATGAGCATCTCGCAAAAACATCCTGATTACAGGCTCTGGAAAATCTAAACTCTGTATGTGGAAGAAGCTAGTATGTTACTACTGAGTAAGTGAAAGTTCACAATCGCAAAATTACCGTCATCCCGTTAAGTTTGGTCTCAGGTGGCCATAGTTGTCGTAAGATGAGTAAACGATAAGATATGAAGCTCAGCTGAAGTAGAGAAGTTGTACTGTAAATCACTTATATTTCACGTTTACTTTATTTCACGATCAGATACCTCATGATTTATTCGCATATAATTATTAAAATTGGCGAACGATGAGAGAACCATACATTACAGGTATGTTACAGTGATATAATTACTCAAAAGGTATATATTTTCACGACGAAGTCTTCACGTTGATTAATGCTAAAATAAATACATCGCGAAATATAAATGATCACTATAGCTTGGCATCATCTAACCGTCACGGCCGTTTACACTGTCACCAATGTACCTGTAAGGTAGCGCGGTGCAAAGTCTACTGCATAAAATACATTTGCAAGTAGTGTATTGCTCGCGTAGATCGTGCCCATACTCCACAATGACAACTCAAAGTACTTCTGATGTCTATATATATCCCAAAATGTACCAAATATAAAAATACATTTTTTGACAGGTTTAACAAAATAATGTATGCTCCCTTCGGATAAACGGATAAACGTATGCGTAAATGTATACGTATACTTTAGGGGCTTATTTTGAAGATCTCTACTAGTAGCGTTTTAAAGGAAAAGTTGACAGATTGACAACGGACCAAGTAAGCTAAAAACAAAGCTAATTAAGTCATCTACTTAAACTTTATATTTACAGTTCTCTACATATGAGACCCCAGAGATATATCAATGGTTATATTGCACTTTCCACATTTGGCAGAGAAGACTGTTTACTAAAGAAATGGTTTACCAGAGTGTTATATTGTTTTTTTTTATAATAATTGTAGTGATAATTAATCTTTCACTTTCAGGTTTCTCCAAATGCAGAGCTCTATTAAAGCAATATCTAAAGCAAACTTTCTCATAACTCACCAGTGACTATGCTGCGTTCTCATAACTCACCAGTGACTGTGCTGCATTCTCATAACTCACCAGTGACTGTGCTGCATTCTCATAACTCACCAGTGACTATGCTGCATTCTCATAACTCACCAGTGACTGTGCTGCATTCTCATAACTCACCAGTGACTGTGCTGCATTCTCATAACTCACCAGTGACT